AGGATACATACATAAATTAAACACTAAAATGAGGAAAAAAAAGAAAGGAAACATGAAAAGGAAAAAATAACAGATTAATAAAAGAAAGTAGAATTCTTTTGGCCAAAAAAGCCCACAGAAGACCCAGGAACCTCCTATACCGCGCCTTCTGCACCAGTAAGCCAGCCGGCGCTCACGCAGATGGAAGTTGGCCGACCCATTATACACGAGCGCAGTTGCTGGTTGACAACTGGCCAGGTTGTTGACTGTTGACCTTTACATAGTAATTCATACAATTATTAAAAAATCTAGTAAATTTTAAAAAGATACACCGATTTTGAAAAATGATCACGAATTTGAAAAAATCTTTGATTTTGAAAAAGAATTTCACGTACTTAACAAAGTTCATTTATTTTGGAAAAAGTTGATCGATTTTGAAAATAAATTCACATGTTCGAAAAAAGTACATCAATTTTGGAAAAAAGGAGAATAAAAAAGATAAGTACAACAGAAGAAAAGGAAAAAATAGAAAAAGAACCAAATTAAAACGGTTCAGAAAACCATAAAAAAATGGTCAAAAGCTTCCCAAAACCAGGTGGAAGCTTATAGAAGCTTCATTACCTCTGCAGGGTCGTTCCCGAAAAAAAGGAATCAGTGTGGCGCAGGACGTTCAGGCTGTGTGGTCGAAGAAGAAGAAAAGTAGTGAGATCCCAAGTGGAGGAGCGGGTGTGTGCCGGTTTACAGTTTGTACTGTAACCAGTGGGAGCTCCTAAGCAGCGCTTTTGGCGCCCCTAACAGGTAATGGCGCCCGCGCGCTGCCCACCTGGGCCTGGCCCAACAAAGTCGATGCGCCCGGTTGCCACAACCTGAACGAGCGAAAAAGCGCAGAAAAATGGTCACACTGTCCAGGATTCGAACTCAAAGCATTAACCTCACGTACACATAACCAGTAGACCTACTTGACTCTAGTGGATGAGGAAAGTATCAATAATATAAGGACATGCGGCCGCGCTATTTAATGCACTTAGTTTTCTGGATTATGTAAATAACGGTGAACTTCAATAAGTTCATCACTTTAGAAAACGTTCATCATTTTTGAAGAAAAGTTCACAAATCTGGAAAAGGTTCATCGATTTGTAAAAAAGTTCATCGGATTTGAAAAGGAAAATCACAGATTTTGAAGAAAAAATCATTCAATTAGAAAAAAAGTTCACAGATTTTCAAAAAGGGTTCATAAAATCGAAAGAAGTTCATTTTTTTTGAAAAAAAAGTTTACCAATCATGAAAAAAGTTCATCAAGATTGAAAAAAAGTTCATCGATTTGAAAAAGAGTTAACGGGTTTTCAATAAAGGGTTCATGAATTCAAAAAAAGTTCAATTTTTTGAAAAAAAGTTCATAAAGTTGGAAAAGGTTCATCAATTTTGAAAAAAAGGTCATCGATTTGAAAAAGAGTTCACAGGTTTTCAAAAAGGGTTCACGAATTTGAAAAAAATTCACCAATCATGAAAAAAGTTCATCAAAAATGGAAAAAAGGTTCATCGATTTTGGAAAAAAGTTCACTAATATTTTTTTGTAACTTAAAAAACTGTTCATCGAAGTTTTTTAAAAAGTTCATCAAGTTTAAAAAAAGTTCACTAACTTTGAGAAAAGTTCACCAAATTTTAAAAATATTCATTGAATTCAAAAAAAGTTCATCGAATTTGGAAAATTCATATAATTTGAAAAAAATCATTGAATTTGAAAAAGTTCATCAAATTCGAAAAACGTCCATTGAATTTGAAAAAGTTCATCAAATTCGAAAAAGGTTCACGAATGTTAAAAAATGTATTTGAAAAAAGTTTAGCAAAAAAAACTGTTCCAAAAAACGAAAAAGGAAATAAAATAGAAAAAAACCCAAACGAAAGCATTCCAGGAAAAAAAGAAAAATAACGAAGAGTATAAGAAGGAAAAAGCTTTGAGTAAACAAGTCAAGGAGAGTGGCTTGTTGGTTGTGACAATGAACACTACGCTAGGAGATTGGGAGTCGAGTCACGTTGCACACACACTCTTTTTGCGCCTCTAAAACAGAAAAAAAAAGTAACGTGGGCCAGCCCAGGGCAGTGCGTGGGGTGTGCGCCCTGTACGGTTAAGCCTATAACGGGCGCTACGGGCGCTGTTTAGGAGATGCCGTAACCTGCACCTTAAGCGCCGAACAGGAAACACTGAAGACCGTAGCATAAGAAAACAAGAAAACTGTTGACTGCTAGGCCAGCCCACTTCGGGGAGACCCAATTTAACGCTTCAGACATAAATGCCCCTAAAAAGCGGACTGGGCCGGCGCACTAAGCAGTCATCGCTCGGCTGACTCGCTATTTGTTTGCTGGCTCGGCTCAGTTTGCTTCTAGGTCAAGAAAAAAGGTTACTTTATGGTTTTCAAAAAGCTGGTGGACTAAAAACATTTTCATACATTTTAGAAAATATTTCCGTAATTTTATTAAATATTCAGAGATTTACAAAATATTAATGATTTGTTTTCAAATGTTGATGAATTTACAAAATGTACAATGATTTGAAAAAATATTCATGAATTTGAAAAATCTTCATGGATTTTAAAACGTTCAAAGATTTAAAATATATTCAGGAATTTGCAAATATACAAAATGAACCAAGAAATGATATGAACAAGGACAGGAAACCAAGTACAACATGAAGAAAAACGAAGAGAAGGAGAAAACCCTGCACAAGCTTCTCAAAACCGACTAGAAGTTTCCTAAAACCGATAAAGGCAGTAAGCTAGATGGGTCGGCCCGTTACTGAAACTAATGCTAGCAGGGGTGTTCTACGGAAACACTGGTATCGAAATTACTAGTTAAGAGGTACCACTTGCAAAGCTTAAATTGCCTCTGATGTTGATAAGTAGCGCAATGTAAGTGCATCATTTATCGCAACCAAAGAGTTTCGGTGGAATTTTTTCCATGAGAGGGATGAGAGAGCTGGTTTTACGCGTTTTTTTCTTGATCCAGTTTTGAAAAATGAAGTATCTCTTGAACTGTGCGTCTAAATTGTGAACCATTTTCCTTTGATGAATCCTTTTATGAACAACTGAAACCATATTTGATTTGAATAAAGTGTGCCACAAGTTTAAAAACACGCACACACACACACCATAATATGACTATTTTTAGTGAAAAACCTAAATGATTAAGAGTGGTCGAACATTGGGGTTCTCCTACGGGAGTCTCATAGCTTATGTCATGGTAACGTTGGGTCGTTTGAGTTTGCTTTCCGTATGCATGATTGTAACAAGGTTGCCCATGAAGCCCTGGATGGCCCTTTTTCTTGCGAGAGAACTTTCCAATCTATCCATGAATATTGCTAGTACAGAGAACACTAAAGGTAACAAAATTACAACCAGGTTCATGGACCATCCAGTGACAACTACAAGCACTGGAGCGAGTCAAAGGCGCGTCGCCATCATCGCCCCTCCCTCACCCAAGCCGGACAAACCTTGTTCTAGTAAACAATCAAGAAGTCATCGTCTTAAGACCCCAAAGGACCAGCGCACCAGAGCAGCAACCATCGCCGATGAAGAGGTTGAAGATCGGAAAGATCAATCCTGTAACCACACGAACGAAGACGAACAAAAACTGAATTCAAATAGATCCATCGAAGACCAACACCGACCGAATCCTGCGAGACCCGATGGAAACACACCTCCACACATGCTACGGCGACGCTATTCGCACCATTGGAGGCACGAGAGACATTATTCCTTCTGAGGGACATCGCCACCGCCACGTAACCCTAGCCAAGATGTTGAACCTAACAAAAAGAAGAACGAGGTCGCTCCCGCGGATGGGGGGCCGAGATCCTCCGCACCTCCTCGGTCCAAAGGCCATTGGAGGTGGGACGGATCGGCGGCGGTGCTGGCGGGAGGACGAAGGACTCTTCTTGAGCAGGAAAGACGACCTAGTCCCTGTATGGTTTAAGGCAGGGGTTGCTATCATGACATGGACGAAGCAATCTCCAGACATTCTCTCTGCTATGTTCGCCAGCGATATTGCTGAGCGAGTTTAGTCTTGGGAATGACACGTTCTAGTTTAGAAAACGGAAATGTGATTAACCGAGAGCAAGTAGAGTTTGATCAAATCACCAAGTGGGTTTTTTTTGTGCGGGGGGAGTGGGTTGCATCACCTTTAATTCCTACTATATCAATAATAAATTAAGAACTTCCCTCACAATAAAATAAAATTGAAACGTACTGAGATAGAATAAAGAACGTCATTAAGCTCATCATTTCTGGCTTGACATCAAAGCCATTGTGGCGCAACAGCACATCCAATCCTCGTGCCCACGGGAGCATCGCCTCCTTGCTCAGCTCCAATTTCTCTTGAGGGGCGTTACTAAAAAAAAAACTTCTCTTGAGATTCTAGAAGGCACTTCTTCCATAAACTAATATAAAAACGTTTAGATTACTATTTTAGTGATCTAAACGCTCTTATATTAGTTTACAGAGGGAGAATGCCATTCTTCAGACTCCATATCACCTCCATCATGTCACCATCGTCGTACACACATGTTAGTCCGTGAAGCCGAAGGCCGCATCGAGAAACGGCGATCATTAACCAGGATTGAACAACAAGGGATCTAGCTCAACTTCAGTGTTAAAGGGACCATTTTTTCTTTTCCATTATTCTTTTGTACTCGGGCTTTCCAGCAACCAGTTTATGCTCAGGGTGCTCATATGCTCATCATGGTACTGTATTTTGTGCGTGTCCGGTGGTTAGGTTTCACTACCGATGGTTGAAGCTTTCTACCATCCGCGGCCGCCCGTCCTGCTTTCTTCCTGGTTTTGTCTACACCTGTATGTGACTGTATCCACCGGCCACCGCCACCACCCGCCCCCGCGGCGCTCCATATCAACCTCAGCCAGCGCCCGCTACCAGTCGCGCCCAGTTCGAAACACCACCTTTATATTTTCACCACGCCGTTTGAGCCGATCCATCTCCAAGTCCAACTGCTGCGGAATCCGAAAGAATCCATGGCCATGCTCGTGCTCGCGCTGCTGCCCCTGCTCGCCGCGTCCGCGTCCGCGGCGGGCGGCTGCGCGGCCGACGCGTCATTGTCGTCGCCCAACGGAAACGCCTACGCGGCCTGCAGCGACCTGCCCCGCCTCGGCGCCACGGTGCACTGGACCTACGACCGCGCCGCGGGGTCCCTCTCCGTCGCGTTCGTCGCCGCGCCGGCCGCCCCGGGCGGGTGGGTGGCGTGGGGGCTCAACCCGTACGGCGAAGGCATGGCCGGCGCGCAGGCGCTCCTCGCCGCGCCTTCTTCCTCGTCCGGCGCGTGGGCCGTCCGGACGTACAACATCTCCGGCTACGCGCTCGGCGCGCCCGGGCCCATCGCGTTCCCCGCGACGGGCCTCGCCGCGGAGATGGGCACCGACGGCCGCGTCAGGGTCTCCGGGACGCTGAGCGTGGGCCAGGGCGCGTCCGTCCTGAACCAGGTGTGGCAGGTCGGGTCCGCCGTCTCCGGAGACGGCGTTCCCGCGCCGCACGCCATGGGCGGCGACAACCTCGCCGCCAAGGCGAAGCTAGATCTGGTCAGGCAGACCAGCACCTCCTCCGACTCCGGCGGCAGCGGCCTCGCCAGGGAGCGCAATGTGAGCTAGCTCTCTTCAATCATCACCTGATGAGTCGAAAGCAAACACCTTATCCTGACTGACCGACTGACTAAACCATGCATGTTGTTCAGATCCATGGTGTCCTCAACGCCGTGAGCTGGGGCCTGCTGCTGCCCATGGGAGCCATCTTCGCGAGGTACCTCAAGACGTTCAGGTCGGCGGACCCCGCGTGGTTCTACCTCCACGTGACCTGCCAGATCATCGGCTACGCCGTGGGGGTCGCCGGCTGGGCCACCGGCATCAACCTCGGCAATGCGTCCAACGGCGTCACCTACGGTCTCCACCGCAGCATCGGCATCGCCGTCTTCGCCCTCGCCACCCTACAAGTAATCATCTATCTAACCAACACTTCCCAAATTCAAATTGAACTCGATCGTACCGATGCTAAATTTCGTTCAAACTTGAACGGCGTCCAGGCATTTGCCCTGTTCCTGAGGCCGAGGAAGGATCACAAGTGCCGCGTGTACTGGAACGTGTACCACCACTCCGTGGGCTACGCCGTCATCATCCTCGGCATCCTCAACATCTTCAAGGGCATGGCGATCCTGGGCGTGGAGCAGCGGTGGAGGACCGCCTACGTCGCGGCCGTGTGGGTGCTCGGCGCGGTGGCGGTGACGCTGGAGGCGGTCACGTGGAGCGTGGTCATCAGGCGCCGCGAGGCCGAGCAGCACGGCAAGACCTTCCACGGCGCCGCCTAACCCAATGGCCGCCTGCCGCACACCGTGTAGTAGCTAGCTTTGAGATCATACGTACGTACTGAGATCTGGCATTTGTACATCCATTCTTGCTGTGTGTAGTA